ACTAGTGTTTTTTGTGTATTGTATTGTTTTTTTGGTGGGTGTGTGGTTGTGGTTGGGGGGGGGGGGGGGGGGGCGCTGTGTTTTGTTTTGTTTTTTTACAAGCAGAAGTGGGTACCCAAAAATTGAACTCAAGTAGCATAATTAAAAAATAATAATAATAAAATGAAAACAATTATAGTGCAGAAAATACAGGTAAAATAAATATATATATATTTTTCCAATATAAATCTGTATACATATTTACCTGACCGCCAATCGGCCCAGCAGGCTCAGCAAATGAAAAACAACAATAACAACAAACATGTTGCGTGCAAAGTCTCGCTAATATAAACATTATAACATTAGGTTAAAATGTTTCTTCTCCATTTACCTCAATGGAGAGTTTCCCGAAATTTTACCATATCTGTTAAGTCTCTCGTCTGCCCGGAAAACTACGGTTTTTAACCCCCCTATCCCGTATTATGGCGATCCGTCGGAAACGTCGGAAGAATACTTACGCAGTCGAGGCATGATTCCGTTCTTTTATTTCTGCTTGATCGTCTTCCATTGTAAACTAACGTTGAAGACGGTTGCCGTGGTTACACTGCCAGAGTCGTTTTACTGCTGACTGTTGTCTAGAAGCTGTCGTATCGTGATATAAAACAGCATCAATTTATGTTTAGGTTAGTAGGCCCTAAATATAAATTGCTCCTGAATTATAATTGAAAACATCCGTTGTTATTGTAGCCGCCGCCGCCTGTAGCCTCTTATTGAAGCCACACTCGGTTGCTAACTCACTGCTACAGAAGCACAAGGAAGTGAGCTACATTCAAGAACACTGACAGCTCAAAACAATTATGTTTGAAGGCTTTCCATAGCTTTTGGCATGTGGAACCATGTGGATTTTCTTTGAGTTATCTTTAGTTGATTTTTAATGAGTTATAGTATTTTTCATATCATTATTATTATTTCATTGAGATTTAAATAAACACGAAAAATAAATCTTTCAAATGCTGTTATTCAATTTATCTCCACAAGATGTCAGTATAGTTACACAAAAGTAATTGTCTCCCTCATTTTCCATGGGAAGAATTATATCAGTGTTGCGATCTTCACGAAATTATGGTTTTATTAGACACCTATTTTGTAGTTTTAAGCGCATGATGTTCTCTGATATTATTTATTTATCAACGCTTTTAGGACCACAATGTTGTAAGTATTGAAAACAGTTAACTTAAATAGAATTTAATCTTAAATCCTGTGTATTATTAGAAGAAACACACACAGTACTGGAAATCAAAACCATTTATAGTACCATATCAATGCATTTACACCCTTTTACCTTTTTCACATGTTGTTATGTAATAGTTGATCATATATTTTTCCTTAAAAACAACTCAACAAACACAAATAAAACATAATGACAGGGTCAAAATATGTTTTTGGATATTTTTGTAAATAAAAAAAACTTCATATTTAAACATCATACGTATTTACAGATGGCTTAACATTGTGTTGAAGCAACCAGGACAGCAATAAAAGTCTTAAATAAAGTTGTATGTTTTTTAAAAATTGATACACCCACTTTGGGAGACTTTCTTGCTTTCTTTTCTGTCACTCTGCCATAAAGGCCAACCTGGTGGAATGCAAACGTCGAGCTTCCGGTGTTCCCTCTGTAAGGTGACACTCTTACTAAGGCTCTTCTTCCCCAACATCTCAGTTTGGCCATGTTGTCAGATGTAGGGTGGTTTTTGTTGGTTCTAAACCTTTTCAATTTCAGAAAAAATAAAAAGTACTATATTTTGTAAGACTATGAGTGGCACCAACAAATATCTTCAGAAACGTCTGAGTTTATTTTGAGTACGATCTCAAAAGATGTGAATGCTTATGCATCTATTATTTTTAATGCTTGTATTTATTTTTCAAAACTTTACAAAGATCTCAGATTTATTTTTCAAGATTTTTATTTTTAAAATTTTTGTTTTTCAAGTATGTCTGTAACGTACACTTCATGGATAAACGTATTCATACCCCTGGTAGATTTAAATTAAAAGTAATTCCCATTCAACTGCAAAGTTAGTTTCTCATTAGTCAGACCTGCTTGTCTGCTTGTCATTTCTGGATTGAAATGATAATTATTAAAAGGAAACTGCAAGATGTTATTGTAGCATTTGGATAAAAATGCTACAATAACATAAACACTCCAAAAATTCCATTCTGCACATAAAATGTATGATTTTTTTTAACTGCGTTTCCATAATAAAAATAGGGGCTGCTATTATACCAAAAACTGAATAGAGATGTAGAAAATACAGTATTTCAAATCTGAAATGGGACTTATTTTTTGTTCTTATTAGGACATAACCTTTGATATAGGACTTTAATTAGTTTCCCTTTTTTATTTGAAAAAAAGAGAAATTTGGATCTTAAAGGTCCTAAGTGAAAGTTTTTCTGAGGGGGGCCCCAGAGGGTTAATGTACCTGAACATCTTTCTGGCTGCTTCTACTGGTATATGAGATTTATCTTTTGTGAGTCTTGAAGGCCTTTTAGCCATCCTGCTAATCTTTAGCTCAGTGTACAGATTCTCTGTTAGATTCATGTTGGGTATCTAGCTGGACCACATCAAAAATCTTAACGTTAGTTTTGTTGGAAGAAAGACTGTGGTCAATTAATGTGTGAACATTTTTGAGTGGCATTTTACAATCTTAGCCTATGCATTATAAAATGCATGTGACTAAACCAGTATGTTTACGTTTATAGTTATTATAAAGAAAGGTTATTAAACAGGATGGAGTCAGTGTAGAGCTCAGGATGAAAGGTGTCACTCAAAGACAGTTCTTCCTATTTCCACTCCTAAATTGTATTTTCTTCAGTAGTTAGTTGAAGAAAATTTTTACTTGAATAAATTACTGACATCTTTTCAGAATGAAACAAAAATAAGGGATTTCGTTCTATAAAAGCATCTTTGGATTTCACAGAAAAGCTGCATTGTATTCACAGAGAGAGTAGAGGAAATGTACATTTACTTGTAAAAATATTCCTTCTCACATCAGTGCCCAACATTCACGCCATATAAACAAGAAGTTACGTCTCTGTGGCCGCTTTGAGAAATTGGTCTCCAGAGACAGTTTTCTAGGTTAATTTATTCTGTGCTGGGCTGGCAGAGTACGCAGCATCACCACTTTTAAACTCGGGTCACGGCACATTTTGTGTGCGAGACTGCCTAAGATAACTTCTGCTGGCTCCTTGGGATGGCCACTGCCGGTTGGTTCTGGCAGGCCATGAGACAACTCGTTTATTTGTTTGTTTGTCCCATGAGTTTTTGGCTGGCCATCCAGGGATCTGTTTGGCCTCAGTCCCTGCTGGGCTTCTATTTCTGAAACCCAAGTGGCTCTTAATGAAGCTGGTCGGGTTGGCATGGGCCCCTCAGCAAACCCAGGCCTGATCAGACCCTTCTTCTTCAGCCTTGGCAGCCGCTCTCCATTCGCTCCCTCTGGCTTCCTAATTTAGTAACGGTGGGTAAAAATATGCGCTAACGAACGAGGTCTGGTATGTCAGGCTGGCGTCCAGAGTGGAGGGAGGGAGAGCGAGAGAGGAGGGGAGCGAGCAGAGTGGGGTGGTGCTGTTTTCTCAGCAGGCAACCGGTGACAGGGATCGAGTCACTCAGACTTCACTGACATCTGAGTGTTTGTGTGTATGTGTGTGTGTTTGTGTGTGCAGACATTCAAGAGAAGAGTGTGTGCGCGTGTGTGCGTGGGTAGTTGGGTGTGTGATGAGAGGTGCAGGGTGAGTAGTAGTGCTTAAAATGTTTCACCCTTGCCAACCTTCAGCCTGACACTTTTAAGCACAATTTCCTGCTGTATTCTGTGTAAATTTGCAGATTACTGAACACAATATGCTTTTCAGAGAAAAA